AATAACAAAACTAAACTATGTCATTCACCCAAAAAATATAAACAGTAAATACAGTGCAATTCATTTAAATAGTTCCTGTTTATTTTTATAGGCGTTTTTCAGGTTTTTTACGTTAAACATACATCCATCAGAGGTTTTATTTTTTTTTTAACCTAAAATTCCATGCAAGCATTGGAGAAAGTGCTGCGGCATATAACGAACTACGTCCCTAAATTTTCCCCATTTCAGGATAAAATTAGTAGAACAAAATTTTCAAACTTGCCCCAGTTGAGAAAGAGGAAGAAAGTAAATTTTCAAATTTGGAGCAACAACTAAGAAAAAGAAATTCACCTTTCTCAGAATAGAATAATTTCAGATAACAAGAAGACAGTTATTTCTCTGTCATCGCCTCTTAACATCTCAATTATAGTCACTTAACTCCAATAACTTGGGGGAAATATTTGGATTACAAACTTTTTCGTGTACAGCGTAGTTTATAAACAGAAATATTTGGCTAACAATCTTGCCTTACTGAGTAGGTAGTTGAACTAAATTTGGAAACTGGAAAAGAAATTAAAACGTATAATGCATTAGGTTTTACTGTTATTAAATAAACTAATAATAAATAGTTTCCCTCCTGGTAATTTTATCATTTATATAGGATGGAAATTTATTTCGTTGATTAAATTTTATCTTAATAGGTATACTTTAGAAAAGTATTGTTTTTTAATTTAATGCTACAGAATTTATTATATTTTAATTTAATACCATAAAATGTAAAATAAATTATATTTGAAGTAAAATTATCTCCCTACTTGTTTTTTTAAATTATGATAAAGACCTAGCTATAAATATTTTAATCTGCAGAAATTTGTCACATTTGAGGCAAGAAATTTATATTTAAAGAAAGTATTAAAGAAGAAAATATTTAAAAGTGTCCCGTCTTGTAAAAATAGTAATACGATCACTTCACAATTTTTTCTTTAATCTACCATTAGAAAAATTAAATTTAATTTTGGTTTTTTAGTATAAACCGTGACATTGGGTTTAATGTGGACGCTGGCACCCTTCCCAGTATTGCCGCTGTTTTTTGGGAATCTACTGCGAGTTATTGTTTCATAAAAGATTTTACTGCAATGAAAGTTTTGTTTCATAAAAGATTTAAAATTACGCTACTACCACTGTGATTAAAACTTTGTAGTTATTTTACTTCAGGGTTTTAAGTGACAACTTTATGATCTATAAACGGGTAACAGATATTTTATTTATAACGAATTTTAAAAATGTTTAATAAAATACCAAATTATTATTTAAGGCTCTGATGTTTGAAAAAACTAATTTTTTTGTGATTTATATAACTTTTAATCTGTCATTTTGATAGAAAATTTCAACTGTTTAACGATTCAGTGATAAATTTCAGTTATACGAAGAGCTGATTAGAGTTACACTATTTATTGGTAAGCTTGATGATATATATTTTCTTGAATTAAAGCTTTTAAAGATTTATTCACTCGTAAGAACTATTGGTCCACTAGCGGCCGAGCCGTAAAGTCGCTTGAAGTCTGTAGTTCGACGTGGGCTCGATTCCAGGCGAACAGGCTGACTGCATGGACGTTTTCGTTGTTTCCCTGTGTGTAGCGTGGGTACGAAACAGTTTCTTTTAAAACGTTCTCCATGAAGGTATCCTTTTCCTCAGATAAATAGCCGACGTGTGCCTTATTCAAATGAGCCAAATCAAACGTAAGAAATAATCATTCCTGATTTTTGAAAATTCCCTATGTTTGCATACCATCAGTACATGCAGACCAAGCCCGCACTTACGATGTTTTAATTAATACGAATTCATGTACTGTATTGATTGGGAATATGTACTTTTTTCTACTTTGTTGTATTTAAATTTAATCTTTCTCAACACAGACGTCATCTTTTGAACTTAAAGTAATCATTGTGAGGAGAAAAATTCCTTTATTTCTTCTTAAAGACTTGTGATTTTGTTTGGCAAGCACTAATATGTAAGTTAGGATGCATCATTTTTAAAATAATAGTCAAACAGGAGGGAACTAAAATAAATAAAGCATTCATGTTAGTGACAACCATATGTTTTCAAATTGTCTTTATCTTTGCTAGTTAAAATAAGGAATACATAAACTATTTAAATTTGGCAAAATAAACGTGCAGGTACTATTTGTTTAAGTAAAGCATCAGTTAAATCTACCCCAAAAAAATTAGAATAGTTTACTTTGATTTAACTTGTATAGTATTGCGAGGCGATTTCAATTATTATGCGATATTTTCTGCATTTATTTATGACATTTCAGTAGCTTCATTTGATACAGTTTCAAGAAATTTTATTTAACTTTTGTTAGTATTTCTGCCTTTTATGCCTGAAACTTGGATTGATATTCAGAAGTGTAAAAGGTATTTTCTCCCTCCTTATAGCATGCCTTCGCGGTGTAACAGTAACACACTCAGCGCGTATTCGAGAGGTCCAGATTCGAGTTCCAATGAGGGCACTGCACAAATATTCTGTCTCCTGCTTCAAAAATTATGGAGACTCTGAAAGGTGGTGTACAATAATTCCTCACGACTAGGATTTGGCGACTGGGTTCCCTAATCCCCAGTCGCTCTTTAAAAGGGGGAGTTTTTCTTCCTCCTTCCAGCATGCCTTCGTGGTTTAACGTAGCACACTCAGCGCGTATTCGAGAGATCCTGGTTCGAGTTCCGGCGAGGGCATTGCACAGTTTTCCTGTCTCCTGCTTTAAAAATCCTAATGACCTCAGTATTGGCTTAAAAGAGGGAAAGATATTTTATTTACAGCACATTGTATTTTATTTCAATCCATTGTATACTTGGTTTATACTTCTTCTCAGGGTTGCTCCACTATGAACACTTGAATTTCCTATTCACGCTGTGTAATGGCCTATTTTTGTTATGGCATTAAAAATCGAACAGTAATCCAATGTTCATTTTCCACGTTTTTTATGAGCGGGGAAAAACTTTATGAAGAACTGCAGATTGATTTTGGGAGGATCTTAATATCTGGAACCTTGTAGGCTTAAGCAGTAAGTAATCATGCTGCATTCGTACAATGATGGCCGAAAAGTATATTTTTAATTTCAAAATAAGATATACAATAAGCTTTATAAGGTATCTTCTCCCTACTTACTGCGTGTGCCTTCTTGATGTAAATGGATAGCACAATCGTTTAGCAATCGGGAGGTCCGGTATTCAAATCTCGGTGACGGCGTTCCACGTTTTTCCAGGTCTCCTGCATCGATAAAACCTAATGACTCAACAGCTTGATAGATGTTTTAATTACCTAAAGAGAACTGTAACAGACATGAAATAACCTAAGTTTATGACCGCTACTGTCATACTGCCAGATTTTATATCAATTGTAGTTGATTATAAACTTCGATCTTCCATATCTAAGAATGCAGACTAAGAAAACCATATCTAAGAAAACGTATATACATTGTTACTTGACTATTTTGTTTGATCCTAACAATGAAAAAAGAGAATAATTTGCGTCAACTTCTTCCTATCTGCACTTCGCATTAATCTCTTATACTCCCTGTATACATAATGTTTCTTATAACTGCAACCTGATAATATTGCAACCGCTCTGAATCTTTCCCTTCGCTCGTTATCTTCTTGATTCTGGAAGATGAAACTACCTTTTACTTAGTCGTATTATTCCTATTTTACAATGCCTGCATATTAACACGTCATCCCTGCTTTTATTCTGCTGTGTTATAAATATTAACATCACCACTGCATGTTGACGTTATTTTATATTTTATGTGTGTAGGATTTTATGTTAATTAACTTGTTGTTATGATTTGAACTTTATTTTAACTTCTTTCCGTAGTCCTCATCAGAACGCAAATTGTTGGTGTGTACTTAATCCAAGGGTTTGAATGTTTTAGGGTCAGAGCTTTTTGGTAGCCTCGCTTTGCTGTTTCGTACTATCACCAGTTCTGGCAACGTTATTCTGGCTTTAGCATCTTGCTAGCCGACGTTTAAAAAACGTGCTGTTAATTATCTTGTGCCAGCTTAAGTAGTTTTTGCATGCGTGGTCTCAAACTACGTTACCTGCATTTGAATTTAATGTTATCTTATAATAATTTAAACATCCGGAAATAGCGGAAGTTCATCTGTAGCACAAGTAGTCCCTTCTGTTAATTTAAAAGCTAAATAAAAAGGTTATTTTAACCTTCTTATGACTTGGTCATTTGCTTCATACTAATGCGATAACTCGTTCTACAGTCTACAGTAGGGTCTGTTGGACACAGATAAAAGATCCTAGACATATCAAAACCCTACGTGTATACTTCTATGAGATCTGGTAGCTTATTTTTTTAGACTTGAAAAAACTCAAAATCTCTCCTAGATGAATTAATAATGGTATTTCCACATTACACCATTTCAGCTTAGGAAAAATAGCACAGGAGGAAATAATTCCGGATAGTGAAGGAAAAACTGTAAATAGTTTTTAAAGATGTAATAATTACTTTTCTATGCAATATTTTTCTTTTTGTGAAACAAATTACTGCTCCTGAAACTACTTCAATCTGCGGCATTTTAATTAGCTTATAAATTTTCTATCAATCTGCTAGTCTAAAATTTGGTATGATTGTTAAGAGAGGGGAAGCAACTGAATCTTAATATATATATAATGGCACTGAGTTTTTTACAAATAAATAATTAAGTATTTGTAAATCTTCAGTTGCTTCAGTTGAAAACAAAAGCAAAATATAAAAATTGAACAGTTTGCTTACTCTTGATAGTCACAAATTAAGTAGTCTAATAATCCGCCTCCTCCCCCCCCCTAAAAAAAGTAAAGGTTAGAAAATGAGTCTTTAATTCATATTCCCTCCAACAAGTAAGTCGTACATTTTCCTACCCATTCTCTTTCACGCACCAGTTAGGCTCTAAACACTCAGAGCGCATGCGTGTGTGTTAAGTTCACCGGTCATGCTCGTACTAGCAAATGTCATTCCCGCTTCATTTGACAGACAGAAGTTTCTTACCAGCCGAAGGACATCCACAGTGTTTTAGGAGTAAAACAAAGAAAAATGATGGTTATGAATGTTTTGTGAAGAAAAATATTCCCACTGATTCATAAATTTTGGAATTTTCATCTTTAAAGTATTGCATCATTTATTTACATTACTTGTTAAACCAGATTATGATGTCTGTTGAAGTAGCAGACGTGAAGATGCCCGTCGAGGTAAAAGAAGTGAAACAAACACGCTTTCAAAAGTTAAAGAAGAAGTAAGTATTAACCTACCTATCTAATTACTTACTGTTATAACAAATTTTATTAAAGTAAACAGTATAAAACATTTATGCTCATTTGGGTAATTAATATTAATGAATAATATTAATTATGCATTAATATTAATTCATTAATATTAATTAAATAGTGGCAGCAAATTCTTCATACTCAAGAGAAATAATTTATATGGCCTATATTATGTAAAATGAATTCTGTTTTGTTTTGTTTTCATGCATACATGGCCATTTAACTTTAGATCTTAGGTAAAGAAACCACGACCTTGAGCATCGTGTTTTTTACTCGAAGAGTTTTGTTTTGTTCTTTACATTTTTGTTTGTTTTATTTACTTGAGGAATAGCATGCATACCTGTCAATCTTTATCATTTTTAATTAAAATGTAGACACCTTTTATCTCAAAATGAAATTAGTGATTATTTTTGTGAATATTCGATTACATACTTGAATAATGCTTAAGAAAAATATAATTTTATTTATGAGTTTGTAGGATCCGAGCATATTAGTTATGCATAAAGTTTTCATTACTAATCAAAGAAAACGTATGTTAAATAATGTAATAAACGAATTAAAATTTAAAAAGGAAAAATCTTGAGATAAGTCTAAAGACTGTTTTACAAGAAAAAATTTGAGATTAACAATCACGATGTTTATTTTAAGTGATATGAAATACGAGTGTTAAATTAACAACGCTGGCTATAAATTATGCATTGATTTCTTTTATTAAATTTCATTTAAATTTTTGATTAAATATTTGTAAAAAATCCAATTTTAATTCATTTATTTTTTAGTAAAATAATCTATCAACTTGCGTGTTGGACAAAATATTTTTTATGCTTCACTGAACTTCTTTGTAACTAATTTTACCATCAAAGCTTCATAATTTTTACTCCAGATGGGCGTTAGACCCAAAGGGCTATTGGTCTCAAAACGACATTTTGCGTTGTTTCACTTTCTGCATGGGTTCACTTCAAACTGTTGCCACCAAATGTTATCGCCATGTATTATATTTAAAGAAACAAAATGAATCTCATGAATGCATGAATGTTTCTCGCACTGTGAAAAAAACAACGGTACCTAGAGCCATCAAATTATGAATAACGCAGTCCTCCAACTGAACAGGGGCATTTGGAAGCCTGAATTTTAAATTTCGAATTTGTTTTGTTACCTGTTTCAAATTTTGTAAAACATCATATCTGAAAACTTTCAGATTTTCATTTTATTTTAGTTACTTTGGTAATAATGTCTCCCTCTTTCAGTCGAAGAAATTCTCATTTGCGGTAACATAACTTTCTGATCTGTCTCAAAAGATATGCTTTAACTTGACTTCAGATGATACTGTGCTGAAGTCGATTTCTGCGTAACAGAATAACAAAATAATCATAAACTTTTAATAAAAAACAAATATTATACAGAAACTAACACAATGTGTTCGTCCAGAGCACGTGACACATGATAATGGAAATTTTGCATGCGATTTGAAAAAATTTCCATATGTTCGTAACAGTTTACTCTTAGGCATTTTATAAGGTTCTAAATCTAAGTGTAACTATCTCAACTACCCTCACCTAGAAAACAATTTTACCGTCAACTACTCTCAACAATACCGCAAATTCAAATTATGGAAGTAAAAAATGAATAATTTATATGTATCCTCTTCACTTCGATTTGCAAGTTAAATAAAAATTTCTGTCTCTTGAAGATTAAAAAATTTTGTACCGTATTACTGAATTACTACACATAAATAATGTAATTAGAATCAATAAATTATTAATTCATTAGTTATTCATTTCATATACAAATATTAGTCATTCCTGATTATAATCAGGAATGATTATATTATATCTCACCTGATTATAATCAGGAATGACTAATATTTGTTAACTATTCTTACTCAATTAATTGGTGATTATTATTTTATTACTTAATTTGTATATATTTTATATAATTAACAGATAATAATTCATTTATATTTATTCCAAGTAAATAAATAACTAATTTAGTTATTGAAAATTATTAATAAAATATTCTTCATCAAAATTAAGTAAAAAAAAGCAACTGTAGTTTGTGTAGGATTAGATTGGACTACATTATTTAATTATGGCAAAGCACAGGAGGGCTATCTGCCTAAAGGGAGTTATGCCTTCGTGGAGGACGTTCTAAAGGAAACTTACACATGGGGAAAACCACGTAGTCTGTGTAGAAACTTTAGCTTTCGAGAGCGATCAGACACAATTGTTCTTGGAAAGAAAGGGACTTATGTTGGATTGCTTCACAATCGATAGAGTTTTATTCATAATCTACTCCAAATTAAGGATGTATTTTTGCCTACTTTTAAATTTTACATTAGCGCGTTTCTTTTATTAGTGTTAATTACATTAATACCAGTACTATTAAAGGGAAAGAAACATTATACTAATCAGTAATTTTTAGCTTCCAGCTTAGAAGAAGCGTTCAATCAGCTTAAGAAATCAGGATATATACTGCACTTACTATTTATGTACCCTCTTATTCAATATTTAAACAAAATTTTGAGTTCACCCAGAAAATTCCTTAATTTAATAGTAAATGAACTTAAAATAAATTATTCACAGCTCAAGTAATATATCTGAATCAGCTTTGAAGCAACTTGCCAGTCACACATCTATGAATCAATACTGATATATTTCAGCAAGAAGTATACCTTACAGCTGGATCTCGAGGCATTTAATTTTATCTTTTGCAATTTAGTTATAAGTCTTAATAGTCTTACTCAAACAAATTAATATAAATTTATGATCAAGAGGGAATAAATTTAACTATTAGCACTGTATAAAGTAAAAAGTAAAATATCGTTATATTAGAAAAGTCAAACAAGAGAAATTAGAATAAAATTGTTTACCAATGTGAAAAATGTTAATGTCTCTTGGGCATTTTTGTAATTTACGTTAGTATATAAGTCAGATATCAATTAGTTAGAATAGAAAGTTCTGCAAAAAAGGCAATTTTTTTCTCATATTAAGAGAGCAAATTTCTCGAAATTTTGCTTAATTCTAATGAGCAAAAACTGAAAGTAATTAAATAAACCAGTTAAAATTTAGATACCGTAGTTTGGTTCCACCACGATAGCTGGTCTTTCTATCTTAATTTCTGACTTAAAAATAATTCGGTTTCCTGAGTATAATAAATTATTAAATTTTTCTGCGAACTTTAGTGAGCGATACTGAAACATAAATTAAAAGTATGTTTGAGGGGTTCACTATTATTGTTTCTTCATACTGTAGAACAATAAAATTAAAAAAAAATTTAAAAAATCATGAAATATTTATACTTCTTTTTCAGTTTTGTTGATCAATTAAAGGTGTTGCTTGGTTTTCGCTAAGATTCTTATGGAATTATATCACTTACTCAAAAAACTTGCAGATTACACAAGTGCAAAAAAAGAGGGCAAACTGCGATTTAGGATATACTCGTTGGAGCAGCTGGTAATTTTTACCTGCTTTTATCTTTACTAGGGCCCACCAACGGCCGAGCGGTTAAGTCGCTGAACACTGGTAGTTCGGTCAGAGGTTTTGAATCCCGCGAACGGCTGGCTGCATGGGCGTTTTCGTGGTTTTCTCCATGTGTAATGTGTATATAAGACAGTTTCAATTAGAAAGTCCTCCACGAAGGCATCCCTCCCCTTAGGCAGACAGCCCTCGTGTACTTTGCCATAATTAAAATACACACACACCATTAGAAAGTCTTTCACGAAGGCATCCCTTCCTTTAGGAACATATCTTTCGAGTACTTTGCCATAACCGAATAAACCAAGCCAAACCAACCATCTTTACTAAGTGCTTTTGGAGAGCTTCTTATTTGAATAGATAATTTTAGCCTAAATATATCCAACTAGAAAGCTTACTTACTTTCATGGGATCAGCACGTACAGTAATACTTCAGATATCCAAACTAACTGGGTCTCCAGCCCAAATGCATAATCAAAAATTCCGAATGATAGAGTTTACTTTTTTCTATCGGCCATAGATACATTCTTTAACGGAGATGAGGAAATTTTGTTTTCACGAAATTGTACAGTTAAGAAACGAAAAATAGTTTTATTTACGCATAATAAAAAAATCTGATGTGTACACCACATGACTTCCTTGTACAGAATATTAAATTATACGCATTTTCTTTTGTATTTCATTTAAACTTATTGGATTGAATTAAATCTACTTCGCCGACAGCGCATAAACCACAATAGAATAAATGCATTCTTTAAAATTCACTCTAGTATTTGCTTACCATAGCGACACTCTGGCGCTAGATTCCCTTAACGGTATTACATTTCGTTCATATTATAACTCATAATGCACACATTTAAACAATAGAATTATCTAATCGTTGCCACATGTTCTATTCAAATACTATAATAAAGTTAGAATGATGTATAAAAGAAATTAAGCAAACAAAACAAAAAAGAAACAGTTTTTCACAGACGATTGAATATTTCTCATTCAATTAATTCAGTTCTCACTTCGCGAGAAGGCAAAAATACATAAAAACTCAAAATATCTATACTATAAATTAAACACTTATTTCCTCGAAAAAGTTCCAGAAAGGATTAAGCATGATTTAATTGGCAATAATAAATGAAGGCGTTATCTTTGTTGTTGCGAAGCTAAGTTTCTCTAGATTGGCAACAAATCCACTACTCTGCTGTTTCAAATGTAAACAATCAATAGCCGCCATAAGAAAAAACTTAAACAACTTTAAATTGTTGATAATTCTAAAAATATTGCATACAGATTTACTAAAGGCATAAAAACCTTAACCGGAAGATAAAAACAACATAATTCAATCATTTTTAAAGCAAAAAATGTAAAATTTACAAACATATATAAGAGTAAAGAAACTGAGATTACTGAGGCGGGTAACAGAGTGGATATATATATAAACATATTTATATACGTTTGGTGCGGCCGATTGCAACCAAAATACGAGGTGCACATCTACATGT